TAGCACCACCAGACTTTCATTAACATCCACGCTAGACTACTAAATATTTAAAGAAGTGGATAAATTTCATCTGAAGTAGGACAGCCCTGTACACATGAAAGCAGCCACAGAATCAAAATGTAAATCTAGGGGTTGTTTTCATCTGAGTAAATTTGGCGTCACAGCAGGAGAAAATGATTCCAGGTGCATTAAACTTTCTTTCCCGTTTGTTCTTTACCTTTGTCTATTTGAAAAGGCGGGATTACTTAGTTCAAGATCCTCTAAGTTTTTAATTGATCTGAAAACTGTCTCTGAAAAACAATGGCAGCTTACAAAAGGGGGCAGGGAAGGGGCCTCAAGGCCAGTGTTTCCACCCCTCATGGAAGGGGCCTCAAGGCTAGTGTTCCCACCCCTCATGGCTCGTCCCCCACATCTAGCACCCAGGTAAAGTTTGTGTCCAGCGACAACCTAATGCAACTGGATCCAGCACAGCTCCTAGGTCAGCCCAGAGACCCAACACATCCTGGTCCTCACCTTGCTTGAGATGCTTTCTTGGGTCACTGTCACATGTCTGCAATTGTGTTTCCATAGATTCATTTTTCTTAAGTTGAAAGATGGGGGCAGTGATCCTCGTCAAAGAACACGGCTGGACTCGATGAGCAGCCTTTGCTACTGGCCTTGACCAAGGCAATCCACAGTTAAGCTTAAGCATGCGGAAATTTCATAGCCCCCTTGTAACCATACTTGGATACAACGCAACAAACCGGAAGACCCCTGTCTCATGCTCTCCACAGCTGGGTTCCATCCCTCCATTGGCACACTGAAGAATGAAAAGGGACACAACTCCAGAGAGGCATTAGGGCCCAACACTGAGCACCTGCTTGGTGACGCTGGCTTTAAGAGGGTACTAATGGTTGAACTAGAGTTGGCCCAAAAGGCTCTCTCATCTTCAGAGCTTGACATCTAATAAGGAAAGACAAACAAGAGGTGGCGCTGGGTCACTTAGGTCACATAATACATGGATGGCCGGGATCCAGGACATGTCAATATACCAATGAATCCTGACATGCTGGGGCTGCCGAGTGTGTTTTTCATATTTTTATTTGAAAATCCAGTGTGAAGCCAGGGTAATTAAAAATCTATGTATGAATTAACCCTTATCATATAAAGAATTGCTCTTGGATAAGTCACTTCTATGTCCCTTTAGGATTGTAGACTGTTTGATCTCTGCACCATAAATCCTATGCATCTTTTAAGAACTAAATAGTAAAACCCTTAGTTTTTTTCTTCTAAATGCCATTGAGAGGGAAAAAACAGACAAAAAATGAAAACACAGCTGATTTCAATCTCGCAGCCACAGGATTGGGTTCTGGTTATGGGACTGAAGCAATTAGCTAATCTCTCCAAGCATGGCGTTGCTATGAATGCCTTCTAGGATCGTTTTAAGAGATACAAACGAGATGATGTGTGCAAACAGCTGGCCCTCGGCAAATGGAAGCTTCCTTGCCACTTTACGCCACTCCCAGGAAGCCACAGGCCTTGAGAGGGAGTATTTGGTGAATATTTGCCAGGTGCCAGGCTTTCCTGTAATTGATTGTTCTGCACTATTTCATTAGATCCTCAAAACTCCCTTCTGAACAAGATACCAATATTATAATCCCACTTCAAAAAGGACAGAATCAGGTACAAGAAACTTATCAGCTGTTCTCAAGCCACAGCCAAAGATGAGTCTACAATTGCAACACAGACCCTAATACTCCATGTTACAATACAGCCCAGGTCCTAAGTCATTGTTTAAAATGACTACTACACTGTGCCTATAAGAGAGGATTTTCTTTAAACAGTGTCAGAAAACCTATAGTGTAAGAAATACACTGGAAGAAGAGACTATCTACTTGATAGTATTATCAGGAAACTGAGGTTACACACTCACACTTATATATACACACTCCACACAGACACTCTTGCACATTAATACACACATACACACGCACACACACAGATCCCACATTCATATACCATAGACACAGTTGTATATATACACACTACATAGAGACTTACACATGCAGATACTGCACACAGACCATATATAGATCCCACACACACAAACACACACACACACACACTTTTTCTGGGCATGAAATAGCCCTGTGTATACTGTATAAGTATTTGCATATTAAAAGCCAAAGATTTGTCCCTCAAGGGTTGCCTGGTTGAAGAGTCTTCTCCCAGCACAAATTCTACCATATTGTGGGTCCCAGGAAAAATACTTGCACCAGAGAACTTATATTTTGTTTAGTTTGGTTTCTATGGTAATAAAATACATACTTAAGGACAGATAAGTTGGCAAGGCCAGATCTTATATCACCTTTCTTTGTCTTATTATGTAGCTTTCTAAGATAGTGTATTTTTGAACCTCCATTCCACTAGATATATACCAAGCCATTCAAATAGCAGCCTCTTCCTCCTCTGATCGGACTTGAGTTTTCTAAAAATAATTCATATGCGGGCTCAGCAAATATTTATAGGACAATGCCCTCTACGATGCTTATGCCATGGATTATGCTAGGTGAGGCTAAGGCTCCAGCAGAAACCTTATCAGCTTGGTACTTTGAAGGGCATATGATAGTAGCAGAGGGAAGATACTTTGCAAGTGTCTAATATGTACAGTCAATGCTCTGGGAAGAGCATCAAACACACAAAGTGGTAAGCATAGGTCCTGCCTTCTGAGAGCTTAACATTCTTCAAGACTTAAACCTGTACATGTGTTAACGTATAAGACCTTAAGAGGGCACAAAGTGCCACTGGCCTCTACATAGGATAATGTATTTCTGGATACTGGGTAGAATCAGAAAAGAGTGGACCACTTAACTGTCAGACAAAGCACTAAGTCAGACAATAGAAACACAAGAGTTGATCTAGAGGTAAGGAAGAAATGAGTAGTCAGATACCAGATGCTCAGAGTCTGTGGGTCTTGTAAAGAGTCTTTGCAAGCAGTTGCAAACATCAGTCTTAGATGTAGGTAAAGGCAAGGGAATGGCTACAATTCCATGTGATTGTTTGGAGAAGCCTAGGCCAAAGGAGAATGTGGAAAAGCCAAGATTGGCAGCTGGAAAACAGAGGCTGTGATCCCAGGGGGCAGAGAGCCTTAAAAAAAGAACTGAGCAGTTCTATCAACAGTGGAGAGAAGATTGGTGAAAGGAAGAAAAAAGGAGAAGGAAAGGAAGAAGGAAGGAAGGAAGGAAAGAAGGAAGGAAGGGGAAAACTGTCTACTGGATTTGGCAATGAACAGGTGATTCTAGAAGAAGCAGCTGTGAGAGTTGTGGTCACAGGGATCAATCCAAGAAGTGAGTGGCAGCTGTGAGACTTGCGATGCACCATGAAAGGAGGGGTCTGACTGAGAAACAGACACACAGTGATGCTGGAAGCTTATGCAGGACAGAGGCCGGGCAGAGTCCACCCACAGTGAGGTGCCAGTGGGCAGCCAGGGCCTCTGGGGAGGTTCTGGACAACTGAGTACAGGGCCTGCCGGGTAGGCTCAGGAGAAGGCGATCTGGGGCTTAGCTCCTGAGGTAGAGGAGAAACGGCTACTACAAAAGCTGAATGTATCCATCCAAGCACTTTAACTGGTCAGCCTGTAACAACGGGAATGTCATTAGTTTTCACCGAAGAACAACAGAAAAGATGTTTTCCCAGAAAAAGTTTTGAAGTTAAGATGCGGGCTTAACTGGGTGCTTCTGTTTGGCTTTGGTTTGTTTGATTGTGAGTCAGTTTTATGAGGCCACCTATAGGGAAGGGAGCAGCTTCCGACTCTGGTGAGGACAAGAGCTGCTGTGCTCCCCACTTTCTCTGAATAGGATCCTTCTGGTTAACTGGAAATTCCACTGAAGCTGAAAGTGAGAAGTCCTTCCTGTTGACAGCTGGCACTTCTCAACTCTGGGCTTCCTCGGAAGGCGGAAGGCCCGTGGCACAGATCCCTCAGCAGCGATTGCTTAAGACTGAGCATGCGCAGCCCTTTCCAAACTGTGTAGACTACAGTGTCTAGGAGGCCATAGAAGCTCAATTCCTCACCCCACCCCTACCCCATCGAGCTGCAGTGACAGTACAGAGCAATAGGAACCTCCCAGCTGGACAGGAATACTAAGGTGGCACATGGCTGGTTTGCTGAGGAAAGAATGAATACATCGACGCCAGCTAGCATCAGGCTCCAGGAATCTGCAAACCATATGCAGAAGACATGGCATCACGTGCCAGCTCCTCTCTGGACGCAGCCCAGCTTCCAACTCTGTCTCGCATTGTGCCCAGCCATAGTAGGCTCACCTTGTCAGGTCAGGCTGCCTTGTGGTCCAGGGCCGCACCATCCTCACTGCTATTCCTCGTTTACTAGTGCACGGAGAATGATTCTGTCTTCACTCCTAAACCCCCACTGCTAGGACCAATCATTCATTGCTTCTGATGTCCGTTTGTAGTTTCTGTGTATTTTCCTCCCAACTCTCAACACTATATCAGCAGGACCTGTTTTCTTCCATTTGCCATAATGGCTAGTACAATGACCAGACAAGGAACTTGATAACTAGTCTTATTTGTATAAAGACCTAACATGTTTTATTTCCATTTGGTTTTTAATAGCAAAACATACAACCAGAACCTTTAAGCATCTCATGTAAATATTTCTATTTTTGTGAATAATTATGGACCTATCTTCACTGACTTAAAATTATTTCTGAAGGCATACATTCAAAAAGGTCTCTAAAGCTGTGTGAAGAACACAGACACATGGTTCCTCAGAACCAACTGGGGCGTCTCAGATCAGCAGTAAAGCCCCATCACAAGCCACAGCGCCAGTGACCACCTACGCGAACACATGGTATTCTCCATCTTACACATGCCATCTCCATGCCAAAAGAAAACTGTGGTGAAAACGCACATCTCTTTAACTAGGAAACATAACCTTTCCACCTTTCATTTGCGTCAAAACACCATCAGACACAAAGCCACAGGGGTGAATCAAAGGGACTTACAGTTGAAGATGCCTGGAGGTGGGTGCTCGGTCACCAGGAGACAGTTTTCTTCGTCACTGTTGTCCCCACAGTCATTCTGCTGGTTACAGACCAGTGAACCAAGATACAAGCATTTGCCGCTGGTGCAGGTGAATTTGCACTCTGAAAAGGCACAAGCAAAGCATGAGGCGGTCAGCGCTTGCTTGGTACCCAGAGGAAGTCACCGCCATCACCCTCCACCTCCCATGTGCAGGCCTGAATGGTTTGGGAACTGAGATTCTAGAGAGCCCAGGAAATTGAACTGAGAAGGGCCTTCTGGCTGAGGCCGATCCCACTTTGGAACACACAACACTGAAGCCTGTCTGCGGCACGGCGCCACCCACAAATGGATACACGGGTGCCCCTCCCTTCCATCGCTTGCCCTCCAAGAGTTATTCTGCTCAAACACCGTAACAGTCTCTCACACCCCACATCCCAACACCAGAGGCTCAGGTAGGAGTTGGAGATCCAACTTGACTCAAGGAATCTCAAATTTTTCACTTCCAACTTATTGTTTTGTTGCAAAATATTTAAACCGTTCTAGCATTCACTCCTCTCATGCCTAAGAGAAAGTTAATAACAGCATATTTATGTATATTATAAAATATAAATATTTTATAAGACAGGTAAAAACCACAGTGCTCTGCTATCTAAGAAGCATGTGTGTGAAGGACCACACAGACAGATTATAAAATAGTATGGAGCCCACACCCAAATCCCTATTGGTTGTACTGAACACAGGATTCCTGAACAGTACAATTCTATATTTGGAAATGGAATTCATCTAAATTGGACTTTAAAAAATAAAATTTCCAACTTAACACATCATAAATAATTTCAAGCAATCAGGGGTGAAAGATTACACAACAAAATATAAACACCCATGTATATCACCTTGGACTATTAAGCACCCACATAAATTAAGAGGATTCACACATGGTAGACAGCTAACAGAGGAACTTTAAGAAGAGTCACAGGTTCCCAGTGATGGCAACTATTACAGCCCCTTCGCTGTCAGGGCCCAATTTCTGTCCCAAATAAGAGCAGTAGACCCGGATCAAATGCCAAGCTATTTCAACTCCAACTTTCCATGAAAATAAAATTCCAAAATACTGTGCGTAGCCCACCAATGCCTTCCCAACTCTGCTAACATTGAGTAGGATTATACTAGTTGAGACTACTTGAGAGGATAGCTGCAATCTGAGAGAAAATATTAGCTGTCACAAAGAACAAAAGGTAAGTCAAAGAATTTTTGTGAATCTTTATGAGAGGGGCATTGTAATCTTTCCATTTGTTCACAATCTGGGAGGATACAGGAAAAAAAAAACACCCAGACCCCAGTCATGTGTAAAATAATGGAATGGGGTCCAAGTGCATTCCACAAGCTCTTAGTTGGCAACACCACCTAAGTTAGAAACTCAGTGAACTGAATTCAATCAGATTGCACGGTGCAGATGTGGCCAAACCTGAACTATCATCCTGTATGGTGGACAGATCAAAATCCAGATGTTCAGAATCTCATTTATGAAGCTACAAGTTTTAACTTAACAGAAAAAGGGAATGTCAAGGGAAGAATTTATCTTCCTTTCCACGAGGAATATTGGACTTCAGGTGAATGCCAAGCATGAAAAGAACATCAGCCAAACACAAGTGGTCTCAGGGTCACTGAAATAGTCAGACTCTAAAGGAAGAAATATGTCATTGTTAGAGTTTAAAAGGCTCTAAAGTTAGACAACCATGCTCACATTTATATGGAACCTCAAAGCAGCAGGAGAATAGAACAGGAGGTTGATTCATTCATCCCTATAACCAACACTCAATGTTTCGTGCCTGCTGTGTACAGTGAGGCATGGAAACACGGGACTGACAATACAGACAGGCCAAAAATTGGTGCACATCTGTAATCTAAGCACTCAGGAGAGTGAGGCACAAGGATTGTGAGTCTGATGCTAGTCTGGGCTACATAATTAGAACCTGTCTCAAAAAATCAATTAAAAGGGGAGAAAAAAAAACACAGCCCCTATAGAAAAATTTATAGCATGAATTCTCTAAAAACATGAAGACTTGGGGCTGGGGAGATGGTTCTGTGGAAAAGTGTTTGCTGTACTTGCAACAAAGTGTGATGACCTGAGTTGGAGATCCCAGCAACTTTGTACAAAAACTGGGAATGATAGCATGTACCTGAATTCCCAGCAAAGGAGAAACAGAGAAAGGAGGATTCCAGGGCTTGCTGACCAGACAGTCTAGCCAATCAGCAAGCTCCAGGATCAGTGAGAGAGTCTATCTCAAATGATGGTGATGATGGTGATGATTATATAATGTAGAAGGCTCAAGGAAGACACAGTGTTGACCTCTGACCTACACACACACACAGGCGCATGTACATGCACATTGGCACACACACACACAACAACAACAACAACAAATAAAATATGAACTGACTCTTCTTCTAACTCCTCCCGGGGCATACATTTTCTTCCTTACACCCTTTGTATCTGTAGTGTTAGTCAGTCTGTAACAGGTACTCAGTGAACAATAGATTTGTTCAATAACTAAGTAATCTAAGACTCATAAGATCCCCTGATTCAGGACATCCTATCTGTTAGAATGCTGGCAGAAGTAGCCTCAGAAAGAGATCCAGGCCTCTCACTAGTACTATCACAGCCCCCTATGACTCCCCATTTACTCAAATTTGTCCTGTTTCCATTTCCAGATCGGGTTTTGGGTTTTCCTATGATAAGCATACCCATCCATGTAAATTGTCAAAACAACTGTTTTTCTTAAGTAGGCTTAACAGTGCCCTGGAAGGGCTTGTGCTATGATTTGCTGAGCAAGTTCTTCCTTATTAGATAACGGTATCAACCCATTAAGTTTCAAATTGGCAAAATCCAAACTTCTCAATGACAAGCCTTCAGTCAAACATCAAACTAAAAGTCTCTCACATGAACACCTGAATCGAAATTAATAGGATAGATATCTGAATTTGCTAACTCTACATGTGTTGCAGGAAAATACTCAAAAAATACGCTATAATGCAATTAAGTATGAAACTTCAATAGAAATGCTGAAATGAAATGTCAGATCAGGGTCAAGTGTCTGCCAAATCTAGCAAAGCTGCTGTTGATAAAGGTTGGCTTCCAACACCATCCCAGCTCTCTTATGAAAGCTATTTCTACTACATATTCATAAAAAAACCTTACATATTCTTCTAACAAGTAGGTTACCTGTGGTATTCCAATAAATTAAAAGCTTTCACCCCAACTACACATTGGAATTGTCTAAGCATCTTTCAAAACTACTGTTACCTGGGTACCAGCCCAGGCCACTGCTCTCAATGGCTTGAGCTGTACCCTAAACAGCAAGGGTTTCTAGAGTTTCTTTCAGATGATTCTGATGACCCTCCAAGACTGTCCTTGAGAAGTAGACAGCTCACTTACATGAAGCCCTCTCTTTGGCTAAGAACATTTTACTAAAATATTTAGTGGTATTTTGTTAATTATTAAAGTTTAAAATTTTGAAGACACAAGTACTTAGGTAGTGCTTGGATACAATGCTCAGTCTCTGTAGCTCTTTCTGTCAGTGGGATATTTCAAAAACTTAGGGACCACAGAACTCTAAGATCCATGCTGCTGCTGCAGTATTGGACCAGTGTTTTTTGATCTCTATATTACACATTCACACGCCAGAACTAGGAAATGTTTTCAAAGGAGCAAAACTCAAACCAAAGAAAGAAAACAAAGTACATTTTTTTTACTGTTCTGTTTATTCTTTCCAGACCTTGTTGAGTATTCCTACCAATTTAGAAGTTTAGAAAAACCAATGATTATTAAATATTAGAAACATTTTAATGACAATGTCATGGTGATTTCATATTATAATGCAAAATGAAGAACTCAGAAACCAGTGTTAAAATCACTTATGATATTTAAATAACTCCTCCTCTTGAAAAGAAAAAAACTTTTCAACTGAAGAAAATGGCATTTATTTATGCCATAATTCTCTTTTTGATGACTAAGATGACTCAGTGGACAAAGGAGCTTGAGGCCAAGCTCAGTGACCTGAGTTCAAGCCCCAGGACCCCCATGGTGAAAAGAGCACCAACTCCTGCAACTGACCTCTGACTTTCAAACACCTGCCCTTGCATGTATGTACCAACACCAACAACAGTAATAACACATTTAAATGGCTACAATCAATATAGTAATAACAGACATCTCTCCAAATTTCGGGTCTTTTCTACATCTCTATCTAAACTTTGATGGATTCTTTTCAGGGTCTTGAAACCTCTTAGAAATTCATAGTTTAACATCAACAGGAACTTAGAGACACACTGGCTCAAATCTTCACCTCAGAGCCCTTGAGCTACACAAAGTTGAAGAACAAATGTTCAATCAAATCGAAAGCAAACTCTTTTTATTATCCTGAATGTCATTCTGATGATGCATAAACTAATACTGACCAGTCAGGACATACAGTGCAGGAGAAGAGAAAGAAAATGAACAGTGAAGAGCAGGTTTTCTAAGATTTTGTCAACTTTGAGAAGACAAGGAATCTTACATCCTGACACCAGGACAGAAACAGAATATCCTAGTGTTTCATGTGACTTCCAAAATACTGCAAAGATAGCTGTATTTCAACAGCAGGACCTAAGCCCCAGCTACCCAAGAATCTGAGCATTCTAAAGCCAATGCGGAAGAGGGGGGCAAATCTGCTTTGCAAGGACTAAATGCAATCCATTTTGTAGAGTCAACATTCTAGTAGTTAAAAGGCAACAAAAAGTTGTTCTTGATTTTTCTTACACTCTTTTTTTTAAAGTTTGATTTTCACAGATGGAATCTCAATCATAAAATAAGGACCTATATACAGCATTAGCTCTCAGCTGTGAAAAGCGGCCTTTTTTGTGAATTGGCAGAGCAATCTATGTGAGCTATTTCTGTTAAAATTCATACACCAGCACTGACTCATTTGGTTCACACATCTACCATTCACAAACCTGCAAACAGTGATGCTGGCTCCATCTTTCTGACATCAAAGCCTGTCACTTGCCATGGGGACCTTCTCAGTGTCCTCAGGTTATGAGGAACAACAAGGAGGTCAAGCAGCTGTGTAAGCACTAATAGTCC